GGTCAATCCTGTCAGAAATTTGCAGAATTTCGTTAAGTGTGTAGCAGTTTTACCTTCCCCACGTCCAATCGATGACTGAAATCCTATCGCACTGTCACCAATCATGTTGTTAACTCTGACAATACTCATAACTATGGCCCGAAGTGTCCAGGGTACGACATTAGGTGAAATGGGAATCAGGAAGACTAAGACAACTATGATTATGCAGCACAACAGGGGGGAGGGGGACACCTGAATGCGTGGATGTGATAATGCAGGGTTCAATAGAAAGACAGTAGATGTTTTAGGTGTAGCATGCCACATAGTCTTGTTAATTATATAAGGATATCAGTGTGAGAGGACTCTGTTTGTGGAAGAGAAGGAGGCGGCAACTGATCAACCAGGCCGATTATTACGTGCAGTTAACTGCTCTTGGCGTGTCGTAATATGCAGGCAGCCGGTGCAGAAACAAAAACTGAAGCGGAATTAAAAGACTCGAATTTTCAATTTATATTCTAATGTAATCCTTCTGATCATGTCTCTGCATGAGAATTTCAGAAATGATAAATCCCTTAACAGTATAAAAGATTCCTTCCCATCTTGAATTTGTTTGAAGCCTTTAATCTACACGCACTTCTCCATGGACGTATCTAATATCAATTTGTTTCCTTTTGGCGATAAAAGGCAGAGTTGTAAATCCCTAGGCAGTTATAACCAGGATAGGTATGATCGTGTTACTCAAATCTTCTGCTGAATATTTGAGTGTCAGAAGAGGCATACATGATAGCTATCGATGTTATACCAATGTCATATTTCATGCTTATTCAATTATATACTGAATGTGTCCTACATCACATACCGTGAGTCATACCCGTCCTGTCGGGGATCGACATAATGTTTGCATGTCACCGTATTCCCCGTACAATTGTAGCAGCACATCTTTACCGCACTTATAGGATTATCTTCAATTATTCGATTAGAGTATTAACAAAACCAAACATACATTTGAAAAAAGGAAAGCTTTGATCTATAGAATATTATATTGAGATAAGCAAGAAGCATTCCAATTCGCGAGCGGCTACCAGGTAAATGTCTAGGTTAAGGAAGCTTTTAAACATTACATTAAGCCAAATCGCTATACAATGCATTTATAATGATGGGGAAATCGTGAATCTGTTTAGTTCATGTCTTTTTATCCTAACGCCACCCAAGTTGGCAATGTGTACCCGACTGAACTCACATTAAACAATTAATCTAATAAATATGTCGTAAAATAAACATTTGCAAATATTTCTACCAATTTAAATTTCCTAGGTCACCTTCTAGGCTTCAACATTAAAACCCTTGGCATCACTGACGAGTCCTAGCAGGACGAAACAGCTGTTTGATGTTTTATTATTTGGCTCTACTGTTTCTAATTCTTTTTTCTTAATGCTATTCACTGTTATTAAATGCATCATGCATTGTGTAAATTTGTTGTACATACGTTTTCTATAAGTTAGTATGGCAACTTTTGTACCTTATCTGGAAAGAACTTTGTCAAATGTGATGTGACGTGACAGTGGTGTCCATCTTTCATCCAAAGCTGTCTTCTCTATCGTATATCTTTATTGCTTGATGATAAGTATAGGTCAGCGAAACTCGTATTTATGGGTGGTATTTCTTATCCTGTCAAGTCTTGGCCACTGGTCAAGGAAAGAATTTCATTCATACGAGATTACAGATGGTGGGTGGTATACATTAGGTATACCTAGTTTATATTATCATGTCCCGCTATGTTTCAGTGACAGATGTTTGGTTGACATGCCTGCAGTATTTATATAAGAAATAAATGTCTTTGGTCGGTAATGGAATCCGAATGAAAAATAAACAAATATCTGACTTACAGTATACTAGGTGGTCTCAAATGAAACAGGCTCGTCACGAGCAGGAACATTTTATCATGGATCCTCACATGGCAGCACAATTAAATGGTCTCGGTGTTCTGTAAGGGGAATCAATATTATTGCATTAAAGTGAAACTTGAGTACAGCACCAAGTTCAAGTTGTCTACAACGGTGTTAGTGTACTTGTCATACCTTTTGTTGGTGCTGCTGGTGTTTTGTAGAAAATTAGCAAATGCCCATGTCAATATTATCAACTAAGGCCAGGAATTGTCGTTTATTACCAGGGTCGGTTCATTGTCAGTTAAGAACAGTATTTTTAGTTTTAAATATTGTTGGTCAGAATCATTACTGACAAAACATCGTTGACAGGAACTGGTAAACAAGATTGTCAGGTAGAATTATTTGGTTAGTACACTCGCAGCCTTGTTAATTGTTTATAGGTTTGCGTATAAAGGAACGAGAACAATGCTGCTGTCTTGAATAGGAATGAAAAGCAAAAATCAGGAACAAAAACAAAACCAGTATTCTGCGGCTGGAAGACAGTGTTACTGAGCGTCTTTTTGAAATAACAAAAGCAAGTGGAGTGGTTCTCATTACAAAACTACACGGTTCATTTGATACCATTGCACTAGCCCCATTCCAGTTCAGTCCAGTCCGATTAGTTTACCAAGTCAGCAATTAAAAGGAAATCACCAGCTTAAGGCCACGGAATGGTCAAGGTAGCAATTACGGGGAATCAGCACGCGTGCTCTATCTGATCCATCAACGTTCAACTGTTAGAGCCGAAGACAGGCGAGTGAGGAAATTCTGTCGCGGAGCAAGGTGGAAGGGCGATATGGTGCTAACCTGTTGTTGGCAGACTCTGTCATAATACTAGCTAATCACATTGCAATAACTCCAGTAATAAAGAAATCAGTAAAGGGAATAAGTTCATTCGGTGATGGGCCTATTAAGGATAAACTTTGATATACATCTTGGCAGTAAATGAAATGATGAAATTTATGGTTGGAGTAGGGTGCCAGTCATTAGACCAGTAGGGAGGATGATGAGCCGAGCGTTCTCGCTTGGTGGGGGTATATACATACAGCTATTTTTTATCGTTTTTCCTCATGCCATATTTTCTCACGGCTATACTATGAAATGATACTATGTTTAAGTTCCTCGGAAGCTAGAACATCCTAATAAAAACTGGAGGAATTAGCTGGTGAAAATTGTTATTGACAGTAAGCTAACAAACCTCTAAACAGGCCGTACGGTGATACCATGTCTCTCACTTTGTCATGGTTAGAAGTTCATAATGCTTAAAGTAACAACAGAAAAAACAATTAAAAAGATTGTAACAACAGAAGTCCTAGTAAAGATAGAATAAACTACCAGGGTGTCGTATATACAGGAATGCCTGTGTAAGGTCACAAGTTTGATATTCATTATATCGATATATAGTTTTTACGTCAACGAAAACATGCCTACCATGGAAGGATCGCCAGAAATGTGATATTGTTAACGCAATACCTGAATATTAGGCTGAAGTCACATTGCGATCAAAGAGAGCAAACGTTTAAAGTGCGGCACGAAATCGGGTGAATTAACAGAAGTTGCATTATTATTTGTCATCTTAGTCAGCTGTGCTCATTCCGTGGAGCTTTTACATGTACTCGCGTCTTTAGGTTTTTGTCATCTCTTTTCATGCACGTGAAATTAAGCACAACCTCTCTTGTACCGAGTCTTTTGAAGAGGTTTTTTGTCATCACAGGGAGCAATCCTTGGGCCATGCTGCCGTGCTGCAATGCCCGGCAGCGCGATTTTGATGTGTTTGAGATATGCTACTCGGTCTCCCGCAGTGCAGGCACGTCTGCACTTTCTTAAGTATCATTTCCTGTCTCCGCTGTCCACCATCCACATGTTATCTTTGCCGCTGTTAATAGCCAATTCCGACATGAAAAAGGAACTGCAGTTCCCAGTCGTTTTATCCTGCGAATTATTGGACACTCGTGTTTAATCAGCTCGCACGGTTTAGTGTGTTGATGATATTTATTTCCGGTGTTGAGCTGTATATGCTATTGTTTATTGGGATCAATGTAGCTTCCATATTAAAGGTATATTACACCGTGTTAATTATTCTTACTGCTTTATTCGCTAATGAAATTACGTTTGTGGTTTGGAACTACAAATACACAGAACTCATTTACCGATTTCTGTAGACAGATAGAAATGAAACAATATATGTATGATGTCGTAAATGACAGCAAGACAAGTCTGTAGATGTTATAGTACAAAGATACAAGTATTGTAGGTTAGCTCTAAGACACATCTCTACAAAAAGATTGTACTAAGACACTGTAGAGAAAGACAGAACTATTTGTAGACGTTAACAGCACTATGCTACATATCTGATGCAATAAGACAGCTGTAAAAGACTGTTACACATATGAAGAGTTAGACAGTACTAATGAAGACACATTTTCAATGATTGATTGCACTAAGACACATATGTAGAAGACATTAAGACGGCACCGGGACGTATCGTGCAATACAAGTTTATTGACATCAATAGTATCTTCGCTTAAACTTCAAGTTGACATAACCCTCCAACCTTGCTGCTATAAAAGCTAGGTAAAATGGATGTTGAGGGAGATATTTGCCAGATAAATACACTTGTAACTAAGATAACTTTCACTGAGTTTCAGTACATCTTTTGTATTTGAAATGTATTGAGTTTCCTCACCAGTAATTAGTAAGGAGTGTTGACATTGATAACGCTACATACTTACGGTTCTTCTTGGCAGTCGTCCAGGCTTTTTAACGAGAATTTAGTTGAAGTTTAGAAAAGGTCGGGAGTGGTAGTGGATACTGATTGGAGGGTATGAGTGAGGCTGATTGATCGTGTAGATAGAGAAAGACAAGGGAAGTATGCAAGGGCATAACTAGTGAATGTCTCTGCTGTCATTTTAAATCAAAGGCGGGATCATACAATGATATGACGGAGAGGAGGGTCATCGGTCATGTATCTATTATGGTATCAATAAAAACATAGTGTTACAAATAGCAGGTGATTTGTCGTAACAATTACACAATCATCTTTTATTACAGTTGTTTAGACTCGTAACTAACCTAAGTTGTTTCTGTATTTTCCAGACCGTGACCGGAACCCTCAGGACTCCCAGGTGTATTTCCGACCCTGCCATCTTCTCCTTCCGTTCGATTAGTAATTCCTCTTATAACTCGCTGACGCCCGTGGAGGAGCCTCCGTGCGCCTACTGAACCATGCTGCTCACTCGGGCGTGTCCACCAGTATGATTTTCACAACTATATATAATATGACGTTTTGGCACGACATAGCGGCATGGCATCCCAGCCACAATTTGACACCAAAGGATTCATTGAGATGTGACGTCACCGACACAGACTATAGTGAACGTGACAGCATTGTGTAATCGTGTGACGTCACAGCCACTGTTTGTCGCCATAGGTTCACGGAGTACATATCAGGATCTGCATGGAAGAAAACAAAATATTCAGGACAAACAGGGATCAGGAATTAAAAAAAAGGACGATGTATATCTCGTACACATTTTAAGTTGTAGTTATGCAGAATGTGTTTTGTTTTTAACAAGACAATAGGACTGCACTCTCAGGGGGAATTCTACTACAGATCTTGGCGATGTTTACTGCAGTCGAACACTTAAAGGAGAACTTAAACTCAAGTGACAGCAGAAGAAATAATGGCATAGGGTAAATTAACTATGCGTTTTTATGTTGATTACTTAGAATAGTTAGATTTACAGTTATTTTTATCAATATATAGGAATACCAACTACGAAGGGTGTTTGCATATACTCCTGTCATCCCATTTACATGCCCCTCCTAAAACGGTGTCCCTGTTCTACCTAATCCAATGTAATATTGTTGTATTATTGTCTTGTTCATATCAAATAGAAATCAATTCGTTTTACATAATGACTGTTAATTGTTTTCATTGTTATATACAACACATCGCCCCGTTCATCATCAGATCATGGTGATATGAAAATATTCACAAACTTACGTTATTATATATTACAATCCAAATTATATACAATAATGGATATATCAAATTATATATATATATTGATACATCGTGTGTAAGTCGATCTTAATGTATATAAGATATTACAATATCATTGTCAATTTTATATGTTTGATTTCCTCTGTGTTTCTGAGACTGTATTTAAGAAGAGGTGAACTTGAGGATATTTATCTGATGGTATCTTATCACGAGGAAGGAACACAACCCCTGAACTTACTGGTAAGGAGAAAGGGTTAATTACAGACCACAGAGAATTTACAGCCTTTCTATAGATCTACACTGTTTTGTCCAAGTTGTAAATATTTTCTTTATCTGTGTAGTATAGAGTTTATAACAATTTTAATCCATCAAAGTAATCTGTGCCATGGACGAAGATTTATGTACGGATTTAAAGTGACTATAAAATGGCCCCATATTACACGAAATGTTATCTTTGATCACATATCCGGAATAATAACAAACATATACATAAATGCGTTTATTTTCTAATGCTATCTTTTTGATTAGATTTTTTTTTGTCCTATAAGATAATTACTTTTATATAAACTATAATAATATTTCAAATATACGCTCATTAGATGACACGATTTCTCGACACTGGTCCGTGTAGCAGACGAGGAGCTATCATTTCTAAATCGTGATCCAGGCAATGGATAAGAATGAGAAACGTAAGATCACCCTGTATATGTTTAGGTTCTGTGAGCTAAACATAAACGAATCCGTTTAAATGTTAACAGCTTTAAACTGTGTATGACGTCACAGATACTTTGGGAGGCGGTTTTGTGGACTGCGTTTCTTCCGTGACATTTGTTATTAAAGTGTTATTATAAGTTTCGTTGAATTATAGAACCGTCACTTTTCATAAAGCTAGTGAGATCGATAAAGGGAAATAACTCTCACAAGCTCTCTTGCTTATTACCAAGCTTCGGACAGGTGACCTGTAAGAAAAGTGCTGGCACTTTGTAAATACACGCACCTCTTAAAAATGATGGTTTCTTTCAACTAAAGGTATTATTCATGGCTGTATTTTTGTCATAACATACTTATTATAATTGTATTTAAATTAATTGGTTATTTCTGTTTAAATTGGGTACATTGTCATTTATTAAGAATTGCATTCTTAGCCTTTTGTAATAAAACATTAACTATTAAAATCCCTGATTTTCTCAGGATAATGCCATGAGGGTTTTTTTTATAAAGAAAACCCTATTTGTCTTTAACAAACCTACCTCTTGTCGTATAAACGGTTTAGCGAGGGAGTCGGAAAGGTTGATGAAACCGTTGTCTTTCTCGTCGTAATAATTCTTATATTTATTAGTCTAATCAATTACTCTTCTACAAACCAACTATTGCTTGTGTAAGGGTTTGGCGGTTTTGTGATGCTGCTGGAACACGTTTTCTGTTAGCCCGTGTTATACCGGTAAATACAATGAAAACCTATTATAAGTCCTATTATTTTGAACTTTACACCAAGGAAATGATTCCACCGACTGTTCGGTGATTAAGAAGAATGTGAGTGTATTGTAATAATGGCCATTGTACTTGTATTATATTTCGTTCATACCCTAATTATATCCAAGTTAACGTGCAGTATTTTCTGTCTTAATGGTATCTGACTTTGACCTGGTGTAGTATGTACAATATTAATGGTAGATGGTATACCTATTATGTTTGTTTTAAGCTTTCCACTACTGATCTGTGACAGTCAGTGGTTAGTATAGGTCAGTGTTGTCTACTTCTTTAACACCTTATGTTTCAGTGATTCAGCAGCGACAGAGTTACATGCCGTATGATAGCGTTTTGCTGATCTCGCGATGGTTAATTGTACACAATATTTGCTAAAATCCTGAATACCATTGTTTGTTATATCTCGGGATGACAACAGTTGACATATAAAGTTTAGGTTAACTTTCTACAATACAACAGTACAATAATGAGTTAGTTTCTGATAACACACAAATATTGTCTGTATTTCCGTTAGCACTCATGTAAACACTAAAAATTTTATTGTAGATTTTGGCAAGTTTTCAACTCTTTAAATAGACAAGTGTCTAAAATGAGCTGAATTAAGCGCTGTATAATGTTTTATATATACGGAAAAACAGATGAAATGTTTGGAACCTTTAGCAATATACATGTTTACAACGTATCGTGCAAAGATTAGTATACTCTGGTGTTTTAATGTAATATTTCAATATATCAATTTTAGTATTTGCCTTGATATATATATAGCAGCTCAGGTTTATTCTAACACACATTTCTTACCGTATTTTAGCCTTAATAACATTTTTCTGCGTTCCGTCGTCATTTACAGTCACCACACACTTTTGTTAGTATACATTTTTCTAGAGTTGGTCAACAAAACTCATCAACAGACATTTTCTTAGCATTGCAATCAACAATATTTAACATGAAGAATTTCTTAAGCGTTTTAGGCAGTTTTCATCAAATGACCTTTCTAACGTCATAAATGTTCATCAACAGACTTTCCCTCGCGTAATAGTCAACAATGTTCATCAACAGACATTTCCCTAGCGTAATAGTCAACAATGTTCATCGACAGACATTTTCCTAGCGTAATAGTCAACAATGTTCATCGACAGACATTTCACTAGCGTAATAGTCAACAATGTTCATCGACAGACATTTCCCTAGCGTAAAAGTCTACAATGTTCATCTACAGACATTTCCCTAGCGTAAAAGTCTACAATGTTCATCTACAGACATTTCCCTAGCGTAAAAGTCTACAATGTTCATCAACAGACATTTCCCTAGCGTAATAGTCAACAATGTTCATCAACAGACATTTCCCTAGCGTAATAGTCAACAATGTTCATCGACAGACATTTCCCTAGCGTAATAGTCAACAATGTTCATCGACAGACATTTCCCTAGCGTAATAGTCAGCAATGTTCATCGACAGACATTTCCCTAGCGTAATAGTCAACAATGTTCATCGACAGACATTTTCCTAGCATAATAGTCAACAATCTTCATCAATTAATATTTTCCCAACATTAGTCAACAATAGATAAATCGTTATATAATTTTTCTCATTCTTGTAGTATCTATATATAGAGTTGATCACGTATATTTAGTAAAACGTTATTTGTTTATATATTTCTATTCAAAGCATAAGTGTATCGTCTCCCTACAAAACAAAACCAAATCCAACAAATCTACCTGAAAAATCTAATTATTTAAACACAGGTCATTGTATAGAAGACAAAGATTTTCAAAAATAATTCGAGATATTTTCCCTTTCTTTTGATGGTTTGAGAGGAAATGATAATGGTTTTAATGACCCACTTTGATTGGCGATATCTATCGTTTCCATAAAGTATAGAAGATAAAATATAACAAAAGTTTGTTATTTATTTGTGAAATTTAGAATCACTGATATATCAATATGGCTGAATTATTTTCCAACTGAAAGGATTTAAATTATCTTGGCATAACTTTGTTGATAACATTTCAACCGTTCCGTTTCTGCACATTGGGAATAGCTATGACGTAGAATTTGAGCATGAAATAACAACTAAGTGGTGGGCACTTTTGAAAGTAGGCATGCATGGTTGATATTATGTTCTGTATTAAGACAAATCCAAAATTCTATTTTTACCTAATTTTGATGACAGGTCTGCTTCGTACTTTAGGTTGTTTTTCTATGCTATCGATGACACATGTCTCAGGAGTCCAGTATTTCACTTCGTTGTTGAAAAATTCATCATTGTCACGATTCTCCTTGTTTGGATGAGATGTAAAACCATACTCCCCTAAGGTGCAGTATATGATGTGTTTTTATTGATTTGTTTTCGGTATCTTCCATTGGATTTCAAAAACAACACAAAAAATGATAAGATCCGTTGAAATAAGTTAGGTAAGTAATTATATATTGTCTGCAAATACTTTATGTATACATACATCCATAATCAGGGATTAGGACACAAAAACAGGTCCCGATGGAATGCTAGACCGAGATTAATTCAAATCATAGTCACGATTTTCAATTTCATTTCTCTTTGTTTCATTGAACAAGGAAACCATGTAATTGGGCATGCATCAATTCTCAGGTGATAACGTACAAATCTGTGATATAATTATGGTTTCCAGTTTGAGGATGATAACCATGGGAACAGCTTCTAGTTTTAAAGACAGGATGCTGAAATGATGTTGATTTCCGATCTATTATTGGCTATTTCTTCACAGGTGATTATTTGTTTCTAACGTGGAATCGGCTTTGTTAGACCGATTGTAATGGAGTAATTCTTCACGGCAAATTTGTGTTTAGTGCTTTTTCTTCTCTTCATTATGAACTTAAATATAAATACTGGAGTAACTTTATATCACCATATTGTTGACTGATTAATAAAACTGTGTCACCTATTATAATTATTGTATATATAGACACTCTGTCGACTACGAAGTATTCACCATTTCATCAGACTAGCACCGTATCATTGACAATGAAGTGTTAGAATAGAACATTCTTTATTTGTTAGTAATTTTCATTTATAATGAAGCATAATTCTGTATGATCTTGGATTCCCACTCTCCCAACACCTGCATATAAATCTGTTGCAATATCTAAGCCAGCCACTCCTCTTTGTATATTAACTGCCGTTTTTGTGTGTTTGCTGATATTTACTTTCACATACCTTTATCAAACATGTTGCCTGCCTTTCTATCGTTTTGTATATATTGACTAGGCTGTTTGCACCATCTATTCCATTGTTATATGTATCACGTGACTATCGGCATTGTTTTATCATTTGATTATGGCACTGTTATATTATCATTTGTTCATGTACTGTACAAACAGGATAAAGTACTTTTTTATTAATGACTGGTTAATTATTTACTGGTAATTGATAACTGGTTATTAATTAATTAATCACTGATAGTAAACAACTAGTCTTCAGTTGTAAAATTGAATACTAGTTGTTAATTATTGGTTGTTCCTATCGCATTGTAAAGCCAATGGATGGATATT